GAGGCTGAATATATAATGAGTGACGATGACATAAAATATTACAATGCTTGGACCAAGGTTATGGAGACAGAACGAAAGCCCAGAAGATTACTTTGCACGTGGCATATTATAAAAAACTGGAATATCCAAGGAAGATCAAAATTAAAGAAACCCGAAAATAGACAAGAAATGAAGATGAAAATGAGAAATATTTTAAAGGAAGTTGATATAAAAAAATTTCTGGAGTTGAAGCAAAATTATTTTAAGCACTTGGAAGAAGAAGGAGAAAATGAATTTTTAAAATATTTGCAAAAGTTTGTTTACAATCTAAAAACACAAACCACATGAGCAAATTGTTTTTTGTTTCTAGTTACTATTTTCAAAGCGAAGAAAGAATCATGATGTGGGCTCATTGTCATAGGATAAATGCTGGTATAAATACGAATATGGCCATTGAAAGTTTAAATAAGTTATTGAAGTATAATAAAATGAATGGGCAGAGAAATCTCCGGTAGAGTAAATTCAAATTTAAAAAAGAAGTGCTATAAATTATCGTTTTAGTGTTGAAAAATTACTGGATTTGTTAGATGAACTTGTAGATGAGAAAATGTGGAAGCGAATTATAAACACAGAAAGACCTAATGCGAATAATTACCAACACAAAATAACCGTAGAAGCACACAAAAAAGCCGAACAGATGAAGGATAATGTACAATACTCAGAATTTGGAACATTCAAGGTACAATCATGTACGGTAAGTAATAAATTTTATTTAGTCTCATATAATGAAATATGTGATGAAGATTGTAGAACTTCTTATTGTAGCCAATGTAAAATTTGTATACACAGATATCTATGTGAATGCCCAGAATATGCAGTAAAATGTACAATGTGTAAACATATACATGCTGTAGTTCTGTTTGAGGAGAGAAGCGAGTCTGTTTTAGGTCTTTCAAGCAGTTCTCCGTGTTCCGAAGAAAGTAATGTGTTATGTATTGATGAACCCACGACAAGCCAGATCCGATATCAAGACGATTTAACTCATTTCCTAGATGAAAACTGCAGGAATCAAAATTCTAATAAACCAATAAAATTTGAAAATAGACGTGAGGTATCTATGTGAAGTATTTAGTTACATAACCACCTTATTATAAGTTTAAATTTTTAGATTGCTTTGGATGCGATTTGTAGATTTGGTAAATCTTTGGATGAAGAATCATTTGATAAATTTATGATGGAGTTTAATAAAATTAAAGATAGGTTTCAGCAAAAAACAGATGTATGTAGAAAAAGAAAAATCGAAAAACAATTGTATTATCCAAATAAAAAGTAATGTAGAAATTTTACAAGTACGGTAACTGTTGCATATCACGTTATGTAAAAAATATATGTATATCTAAATTCTAGTTTAGCGTCCGGGAAGCCACAACTTATTTCAGCTGACACTAACTAGTTGTTGAAGATCTCATAATATTTGTTGATAAAAATGGACACTGATGGATAAAAAAACCAAGACTAGGGGGAGCATAATCCCCGGTGAGTTATATATTTCTTTGTTTATCTGCAGATCAGTAATTTTAATGTTTGTTTCATATACTTTTATATTTCCTGGTAAATGACCCGGCTACTGTTGAGACTAGCGACTGCTTTGTGATGACCTGTGTATACAAGGAAGTAGTAAAACATCGTTTTACAACTGTTCAAAGTAAAATAGAAAATGAAGTGAGGCGAGGTTTCACACACCGATCCAAATGTCAGAGTTGGAATTGGAGTGCAGCAAAAATACAGGGCTTTAAATAGCCGTGATTCACACAGTCTCCGATCCGACAAGATTTTTATTTAATTTTGTTTTAGTTAAAAGTATTTTTTTATTATATCTAATACTAAAAAAAAAAATTCAGTGTGAAAATAATTTTGTATTAGCAAAAAAAATGTTTTCCAATAAATTTTTATTTTTTAATATTTAAAGTAAAAAACTATTTCAAAGAAAACATTTTTCTGCAAAATATTAAAAAGGGCATAATTAATTCGTAATATACTCTCTCGAAAACCTATAAAACTATACGTTTGATGCTCATAAATATTTAAACCTCGGAAAACTATATACCTAAGATTTTCCAATAATTTTCCCAATTTTCTGGGGGGTATTTAAAAATGTATTGACCATTATTTTGGCTCCAAACCATTAATTTTCACATAATCTGCACTATCCAAATTTTTCATATGATTAATTTTGTGGGAAATTTAATTTTGAATAATTTTTATTAGAAACTATTTTTCGAAAAATGCATCTTCATTGANTGCTCTATCACGTCAGGTTTTTGAGATATCCTAACCTAAAAGTGCAAAAAACATTGTTTTTCGTCATATTTGTGGTTATGTAGTAAAGCCATCTATTCTTTTTCAAAAAACTAATACATTGAATCTAAAAGTACAAGGCTCCCTCCTTCGAGTGCCGTTGAGTTTGTTCAAATATCTTCTTTTTTTTTCGTTGAGATATCACACGTTGAAATTTTTAAGTTTCTCAGTTTCTTAATATGCGAAAATCTATTAAGGATCCCTTAGACATCAAGCAGTCGATTGGAATTCAGAAACTTCATACCCATACGGTTTATGGGTTTGGAGTTGGTGGGCTTGGGGTTTGTAGCATACGTTAAAGGACGCGCCGTGCGCTCCAATCAGGAAAAGGTGGGTGCGGCGTTTAAACCGCCAATTTTAAATGACAATATACCCAAGGCGCGAAAACCGAAGTACCTGTTTTCTTAACCCATAACCTTACTTGTATGTTTTGGCAATTTCAGTCAGCATACATTTATAGTTCTTGCTTGTTATTTGCACAGATTATAAAGGAGTTAGTTAATTATTGAAAAAATATTAGTATACAGTTGTCGTCACACATTTAAAGCATTTATAGCAATTTTTATTGCTATAATTAATTATTACTTGTGCACCTCACAACATGGAAATTATCAAGTAAGTCTTATTCTAAAACTAAAGCTACAAGATTCAATTTTTTATTTTCGTATGTTGTGCTTTTGTAGAGACTGCAAATTGGTCTGTAAAATTTGTCAAAAGGAGTTCTCCAGTATATCTACAAAAAATAGACACATAAGAACCTTTCACGATGAAGTCACGATAGAGAAGAAGAAACTCCAACGAATTCGGTGTCCATTGTGTCTTGAAGAAGAGAAATTCAGTTGCTGTGAACATTTGATGGAACATTTGAAACAACGTCATAAGGTAAGTATAATGGAATCTGTTTTGAGTTTCAGGAATTTTAAAGAAGCGTGGAGAGCATTAGACAATAGAGATGTGGATTATGCGTGTTATAGAAGATGTAAACGCCCCAATGGTAATGAAGACATATATTACAATTGTAATAGAAGTGATTCTAGAGGTAGCCATTTGTATAGACATCTAACGAACAATATAATATGTATTACTTAAATTTTTTTTAGGATTTACCAGTACATGTCACAAAAGAAACATGAAATTAGGAGGAAGCATACGAATTCAAGGAACATGCCCTTCAAGAATTGTTGTGAAAATCCAACAAAATGGTATTTATTTGTTTCATTGTAAAAACATTTTTCAATAGATACATTGTTCTGTAGGAATGGTTGAAGTAAAATTTGTTGAAACGCACGTGGGGCATGCAGATGAGTTGAGGAGTAAGCGTCTATCAAAAACTGAACAGGATACCCTTGTCCAACAATTAACTGCAGGAGTAACAAAAGAAAGAATAATGTCAAATTCCCGGATTATTGAAAACGACAAATTGCAAAGGATAAATATAATAACAAGAGGAGATCTGGCATATTTAATTAGGAAATTCAATATTGACAAAAGAAGAAATGCAGATGATATGATAGCGACAGCTTTAAAAATTGAAGAGTGGAATAGACAAGGAAAAAATAATGCATTTTTATTTAAACAAATAGGTAAGTAAAAAATCAGTAAAAATATATGCCTAAGGCTTTTGTGTGGTGGGCTGGTGTTGGTTGGTGGTGGCAGAATTTTGAAATACATTTTAGGTGAAAGATACCCAGGACTGAGGGACGAAGATTTTGTTGTAGGTTATATGAATAGTGTCATGGAAAAAAAGCTAAAGGAATTCAAACGAGTAATTTGTATAGATGGGACTCATGGGACTAATAGAAGAAATTGGGACTTGACAGTAGTTTTAGTTAAAGATGAAAATAATATGGGTTTTCCTGTCGCATTTTTACTTTCAAATAGATTAGATCAAGTAATTCAAGAAATTTTTTTTAGTGCGTTGAAGTCAAGATTAAGACAAAGCGTGGAGGCTGAATATATAATGAGTGACGATGACATAAAATATTACAATGCTTGGACCAAGGTTATGGAGACAGAACGAAAGCCCAGAAGATTACTTTGCACGTGGCATATTATAAAAAACTGGAATATCCAAGGAAGATCAAAATTAAAGAAACCAGAAAATAGACAAGAAATGAAGATGAAGAAAATGAGAAATATTTTAAAGGAAGTTGATACAAAAAAATTTCTGGAGCTGAAGGAAAATTATTTTAAGCACTTGGAAGAAGAAGGAGAAAATGAATTTTTAAAATATTTGCAAAAGTTTGTTTACAATCTAAAAACACAAACCACATGAGCAAATTGTTTTTTGTTTCTAGTTACTATTTTCAAAGCGAAGAAAGAATCATGATGTGGGCTCATTGTCATAGGATAAATGCTGGTATAAATACAAATATGGCCATTGAAAGTTTAAATAAGTTATTGAAGTATAATAAAATGAATGGGCAGAGAAATCTCCGGTAGAGTAAATTCAAATTTAAAAAAGAAGTGCTATAAATTATCGTTTTAGTGTTGAAAAATTACTGGATTTGTTAGACGAACTTGTAGATGAGAAAATGTGGAAGCGAATTATAAACACAGAAAGACCTAATGCGAATAATTACCAACACAAAATAACCGTAGAAGCACACAAAAAAGCCGAACAGATGAAGGATAATGTACAATACTCAGAATTTGGAACATTCAAGGTACAATCATGTACGGTAAGTAATAAATTTTATTTAGTCTCATATAATGAAATATGTGATGAAGATTGTAGAACTTCTTATTGTAGCCAATGTAAAATTTGTATACACAGATATCTATGTGAATGCCCAGAATATGCAGTAAAATGTACAATGTGTAAACATATACATGCTGTAGTTCTGTTTGAGGAGAGAAGCGAGTCTGTTTTAGGTCTTTCAAGCAGTTCTCCGTGTTCCGAAGAAAGTAATGTGTTATATATTGATGAACCCACGACAAGCCAGATCCGATATCAAGACGATTTAACTCATTTCCTAGATGAAAACTGCAGGAATCAAAATTCTAATAAACCAATAAATTTTGAAAATAGACGTGAGGTATCTATGTAAAGTATTTAGTTACATAACCACCTCATTATAAGTTTAAATTTTTAGATTGCTTTGGATGCGATTTGTAGATTTGGTAAATCTTTGGATGAAGAATCATTTGATAAATTTATGATGGAGTTTAATAAAATTAAAGATAGGTTTCAGCAAAAAACAGATGTATGTAGAAAAAGAAAAATCGAGAAACAATTGTATTATCCAAATAAAAAGTAAAGTATGTAGAAATTTTACAAGTACGGTAACTGTTGCATATCACGTTATGTAAAAAATATACGTATATCTAAATTCTAGTTTGGCGTCCGGGAAGCCACAACTTATTTCAGCTGACACTAACTAGTTGTTGAAGATCTCATAATATTTGTTGATAGAAATGGACACTGATGGACAAAAAAACCAAGACTAGGGGGAGCATAATCCCCGGTGAGTTATATATTTGTTTGTTTATCTGCAGATCAGTAATTTTAATGTTTGTTTCCTATACTTTTATATTTCCTGGCAAATGACCCGGCTGCTGTTGAGACTAGCGATTGCTTTGTGATGACCTATGTATACAAGGAAGTAGTAAAACATCGTTTTACAACTATTCAAAGTAAAATAGAAAATGAAGTGAGGCGAGGTTTCACACACCGATCCAAATGTCAGAGTTGGAATTGGAGTGCAGCAAAAATACATGGCTTTAAATAGTGGCGATTCACACAGTTTCCGATCCGACAAGATTTTTATTTAATTTTGTTTTAGTTGAAAGTATTTTTTTTATATCTAATATTAAAAAAAAATTCAGTGTGAAAATAATTTTGTATTATCAAAAAAAATAAGTTTTCCAATAAATTTTATTTTTTTAATGTTTTGTGTTAGTCATATTTATGAGTTATTTTATATTATATTATGGATTAATAATTAATTATCTGAAAATATTCATATTAGAATAGTCAAATCGCAAAATCAACATATGCGTATACGTATACATCACTACCTGATATAATTTATATAATGTAATAATTCATAATGAATTTATGATTCGTCTATAGGTAAGTAATTAATTAAACAAATTACATTTATGTAACTGTAAGTGTATGCTGATTGAAATTGCCAAAACATAGAAGTAAGGTTAAGGGTTAAGAAAACAGGTACTTCGGTTTTCGCGCCTTGGCAATATTGTCATTTAAAATTGGCGGTTTAAACGCCACACCCACCTTTTCCTGATTGGAGCGCACGGCGCGTCCTTTAACGTATGCTGGGGTTTGTAAGCTTGGAGTTTGTAGGTTCAGGTTTTGTGAGATTGGGGTTTGCGGGTTTACGGATTGTGGGTTTGGGGTTTGTGGGTTTGTGGATTTGGAGTTTGTTATCCTTTGACCTTCCTGATCCTTAGTAGATTTTCGCATATTAAAAAACTGATAAACTTAGAAATTTCAACATGTGATGTCTCAAAAAAAAAAGATATTTGAGCAAACTCAACGGCATTCCAAAGGGGGAGCCTTGTACTTTTAAACTATATGTATTTTTTGGAAAGGAATAGATGGCATTACTACATAACTTCAAATATGACGAAAAACAGTGTTTTTTGCACTTGTAGGTTAGGATATCTCAAAAACCTGATGTGATAGAGCAATTCTGCGGCCAGATTCCGATTCAGCGCACCAAAATCCCTCGGGAATGCATATTTGTGTGTCTGCTTCTTGACCCTTGTTGACCTGTGTTATTTATAGACACACTTTTAATATCAATAAATTTTTCTTAGTGAATAGTAGTTGATTTTTTACTTCATCAACATTTTCACTTTGGAACACATACGAAAATATTTAGATTACAATTTTATTATGAATTATTAGAAAAATTAAAATCGATGTTGTTAGTCGTGTATACCTATTTATAAACTTTTGTTTTATGATTTACAGAAATTCATTTCTACTAAAAACTATATATAGTTTAGAATTACTTGTTATACAAAAAGTAGGAACGTGAAGAAGTATAATAATTCGTATACGGTAGCTCCACCTCATTACCGAGCAAATTTGGGTGGCAACCCGGTCACACGATAATTTACCACGAAATTAAAACAAAAGTAGAATAAAGCGGATCCTCCATGCAGTCGTCGTATTACAGATATTTAATACATTGCGGTGCCCACGTAATATAAAACTAATCCCTCGAGTTCTTGAACACGATTTTTCTAGTCGTGCAAGTAGCAGAGTCAACTCATCTTGAGGTCGTTTAACTTGGTGCACAAAGCAAAGAAGTTGTTGAGGAACTGAGGAACTGTACCTCTTAGTTTATTACACATAATTATTTAACGTACCGTTTCACCGCGTTAAACTTGGGCTGAAATATTGTTAACCGAGGAAGTTTCCTAGAATGCTATTAATTTTTTAATAATGGGAAATAGTCCGTATTAACAAGTCATTTAAAGCTCTTTAAAGCTATGTCCTTTAAAATAATGAAATACGTTTAATAACCATGTTTTTCTCAAGAAAAGAAAAGAAAAATCCATAAAATGCAGAAATATTTTAATTAATGTATCGTGGCTGTATTTCGTATAAGTTTTTACCCAAAATGCCCAAGCTATTACAGACAAGAACAGTAGACAATTTCAATAAATGTTTGCATGTTGTAGTGAATTTAAGAAATTTTTATTTTTCACTTAGGCGATATAGCTTGTTTATTACTAGGAAACGGAATAGGAAAACAACGTCTTATCACTATAGGGCGAAATAAGCGGACCTAAATAATATCGCCCGCATTTTGACCCTACTTTGTACCTTTCTTGTCCGCAAGGGTAGAACAGTCAATGTGCCTTGTATAAATGAAGCAGACAAATGAAAGTACAAAGTTTATTAACATTAGTATTTGATATATACCAATAATTTGCTTTAAATTAATAACAAGAATCATTTACAACCGTCTTTGAAAACGAAAGTACAATTTGAGAAGGAACCTTTAACAGTAATACCAGAAGAACTACCTAAATTTTCTTTGCCATCGAATAAATGTTGTTCATTTTCCCTCAGAATCAATTCAGAAAAATTATCATCGCTAGTTCTTTCGACACCTGCTTTTGAACGAGATATTTTGTACTTGAACGTTATGCTATATTTTACATATCCTGATACTACAGTATCACTCTTCCATTTTCCATGTTTTTTTAATTTTATCATATCTGCACCTGCATCTACGAGAAGAGTTGCCGATGTATGACGCAAACAATGACCTGTTTACATTTTGTCATCTGCGTAGCCGAGATATTTTGCAATTCTGGAGGGTATGCTACCGAAGGTACTTTTGCTCCCTGCTTGCGCAGTACATCGACCATTCCGATATGTCAGAAAAAAACGCCGTTCTATAATTTCTTTTGGTCTCAAAGATATATACTGTCAATACAAGTGGAGAGCGTGCATTTCATTTTCTTTCATAATAGTAAGGATTTTGGTAGGTATTCCAGTTTTTGTATCGTTAATTTTTACTACAACGATTCATTTGTCATCTATACCATCTATCGAGAGCTTTACAAACTCATCTCTTCTTAGTCCTCCAAAAACACCCATTACTAGAACAACCTACAATAATAAAAACCTATTAAGCACATACCATATAGCTATATAGCCAATTATTTCCTATACTATTACCTTTTCCAAACGATATGTATGATTTGATGCTTCTCTAATAAATATCCTCTCTTGTCAATATTTTACATTTTTCTGGAATATAGCCTTTTGATATTTGCTTCAAATAAGCCAAGCAATAATATTGATTAAAATCTCCTACATTTACTTTTCTGCGCACTAATAGTGTAGTCTTAAACGTTGAATACTTCTGATTCTGGACAAAAAAATATATAAAAAATATAAATTATCAAAAATTATAAATATTTCTTTGAATTGATAAAAAATAATATCTACACACCAGTTCTTGGAAATATCCCATTAATAATACAGTTTCACTAACAGCTGTCACTGACTTGTCCAAGTCTTATATTCTTTATCATATTCTTTATCATTTAGATTTCTTATCTAGTAGCAACTATTGTTGGAATATTATCCATTCTGCCTTTTCAATATGTCTCAGATTCAAACACCAAATTATCAAAATCAACAAAGTTGCAGTTGTCATAGATACGTCTTAGACACATCGTTTATATATTGAAAACTGTTTTCATTCTCATTATTTAATTATTAAATTTAAAATAAATATAAAATCAGATGTCTAAGTAAAAAATAAAACGTTGTATGCACCACCGGAGATCCGGGTATAATCAACTCTGTATCTCCCTTGGTACATAAATAACTATTTTGTATTAGGTCATCTGAATTATATTGCATTTTTATGTTACAAAAAGACTTACAAAATTACGATCAAGAAAACGTCTGACATCTCGAAAATTTATGAATACCTAATTATCATGAATAAAATAGATAAATCACTTTTTCTTTGGAATGAATGACTTTAATTACGTATTTATGCACACGCTGTGGCATATATTTTGAAAAAAAAATAAAAGAAACGGCTTGTAAATAAAATATATCTCTCTATATATATTTCCACCACCTTCCTCAGAATCACAAAACAACTCTAAAACCCGCTTAAGACGCTACAGCAGCATTCTACCAAGGTATTGTTACAAATTTTCCCTTTCTTTGCTTTTCAAAAACTTATATTAACTTGCCACCCCTAGACAGAAATACAACCCTTGCCCTTATGTGCCTCGGAAAACTTAGTTTTTACACTAAGTTTACTTATGACGCTTTTAAACATCGACTACTATAAGAATAGCCTAAAAGTAAAATTTCACCCCAATTGCTATTCCCGAATAATTTTTATTCAACCCAGAAAGGCCCTACACAACGATTCCAAAATCAGTCCGATCGGACCACCCCTGCGCCCAGCGGTCGCCACCGTGTATTTGTTACTCTTTGATAAATTATATTAGGTACACATATATATTTTCTATCGTTACATTACTGATTTCTTATAATATTTCTTAATGTTAAGATGAACTTAACATACTTTTAATCTGGGGTACAAATATGAAAAGAAAATTTTTATTAAGAAAATGTTTTTAGTGCCCTAAATATTTGTATAATGAGTATAAGTTAGTATCTCCATTTGAGTTATGATTCATTTCTAGATTTCATTAAAGTTAAGACGAATTAGAAGCAGCATATTATTCGTACACAACTTATTTAATTCCAACATTGACTTTATGCCACTATAACTATATTCTGAATTCCGAATTCCTAATAAATGAATAATGTTCTTAAAAAAATGTCATATTTTTAAAATTATGTAGATGAACGCAACAATAACTTTTTATGTGTTAAATCTATAATTATTTGTTTTTTCCTTATTTTATATTCCACTTAACGCTGTTATATATTTTTTACTAATTACTCTTATTATTTAATTACCTAATTGTTACATTGTTAGATGTTAATTAAGGTAGCTTGTGTGTATGTTCATTTTCATGTGTTATAAGTTTATGGTTTTCAGGTGCAATAGTTATAAAATGTTTACTTACGAACCCGAATTGAAAATCGGTGACATTATTCCAGTTTTACATATATTCTTTTCGTTATTTAATCTGTACATCATTCTTTGTAATAAATGTATTTTTTAAACGAATTTTGTTCTATGGAGTACATACATTAAAAAAAATTACCTCCATATTGGAGATCAAGTCTAAGAAGAATTATAAATTACGTTTGTTAATTTCAACAGACCGATTGCGAAATAAT